GATGCAGAACCTCCGAGCGTAAGAAATGTGGGAGAGTCGCCCGGTGTCTCCCCAGCCTCACCACTCCCGGGCGGAGCCCTCAAAGAAAGACGGCCCGTGGACGTGACGTACGTGGAAGGGATGCCCTTTGTGGCTCAACCCCTGACAACCCCAGGGTGACCGTTGCTGGTGACAGGCTCTGTTGCCGTAAAAGCTGTGGGGCAGAATTCGGTAACTTCTCGACCTTGCTTGCACACGCAAGAGGTCCTCAATGTGAAGGTGCAATGCTCGGTGAACCGTCCAGTTTAACTTCCTCACTCGCACGACGTAAGAGGCTCTGTCACAGGAGCAAGCCTTACGAATGTCAGGGATGTGGGAAAGGCTTCAGCCAGTCGTCCCACCTCACAAACCACCTCAGAACTCACAGTGGGGAGAGGCCCTTTGAGTGTCAGGAGTGCGGAAAAGCCTTTAGTCAGTCGGGACACCTCGCGAACCACGTGAGGACCCACAGCGGCCAGAGGCCGTATGCGTGTGGGCAGTGTGGGAAAGCGTTTGGCCACGCCTCGTCCTTCACCGCGCACATCAGGATCCACAGCGGAGAGAGGCCTTACAGATGCCAGGAATGCGGGAACGTCTTTAGATGTTCCTCCCACCTCACCAAGCACCTCAGGACTCACACCGGGGAGCGGCCGTATGCGTGTCACGAGTGCGGGAGGGCGTTCAGCCATGCCACGTCCCTCAGTTCCCATAAGAAAACACACAGTGGGGAGAAGCCTTACCCATGTAAGGAGTGTGGTAAAGTCTTCCGCGAGGCCTCGTCCCTTACTAAACACAGCAGGACGCACAGTGGAGAGAGGCCTTATGCATGTAAACAGTGTGGGAAGGTCTTCAGTTATTCCTCCGCTCTCGCTATGCATGAGAGAACTCACAGTGGAGAGAGGCCACACATCTGTCAGGAATGTGGGAAAGCCTTCAGCCGTTCCTCTCACCTCTACGAACACATGAGAACTCACAGCGGGGAGAGGCCGTTTCAATGCACCCAGTGTGGGAAAGCCTTTACGTGCTCCTCCGCCCTGGGGACGCATTTAAGAAGTCACAGCGGAGAGAGGCCGTATGCATGCAAAGACTGCGGGAAGGTCTTCATTCAGGCCTCCGACCTCACCAGGCACGCTCGAATTCACAATGGAGAGAGGCCTTACGAGTGTCAGGAATGTGGGAAAGCCTTTAGTCGTTCTTCATCCCTGACGACCCACAAAAGAACGCACAGCGGAGAGCGGCCCTACCGATGTAAGAAGTGTAGCAAGGCGTTCACGCAGGCCTCGGCCCTCGCGGCCCGTAGGCGGACGCACAGCGGGGAGAGGCCGTATGAATGTGAGGAGTGTGGGAAGGCTTTCCGGTGTTCTTCCTTCCTGACTATCCACAGGCGCACCCACAGCGGAGAGATGCCTTACGAGTGTCAGGAGTGTGGGAAAGCCTTTCGTCAAGCCTCAAACCTCACCACCCACCGAAGGATTCACAGCGGCGAGAAGCCTTATGAATGTCAACAGTGTGGGAAACTGTTCCGGTGTTCCTCTCACCTGATTGCACACAGAAGAACCCACAGTCGGGAGGCCTCGTGAATGTGAAAAACGTGGGAAATCCTTCGTTATAAGAACTTAGAGTGGACAGGCCGCGTCCAAAGTGGGCTGTCGTATCCTTACCGCCATCATATCAATCAGCAAATCTCCAAAAATCTTGAGATTAAAGAACAAACGTTCTCAGTGCATAGGAAAGCGATACTGATTCTCAGAAGGGCCCATAGAAGCTGCCTTGCTTGCTAACAGGGGGAGCATGTTCCCTTGCACACAGTGGTCAGGAGCATCATGAGAAACAACCCCAAGGATGGACTACTCCGAAACCCCATCGTGGAATCAGGAGCCACATGACATGGCTCCTGATTCTGCATTCCGGGATTGACGGGTGAGAAAGAGGCAGAAACAGCACTGCAGTTCACAGCTGCTAGGCATGAAATGCCTTTAGGACGAGTCCAGTAGATTGATGAAGCAATATATTCGCTTTGTGGTGTCTTCCCCGGGGAATTTTTGGGTGCCACCCTCCTCCCCTGTGCCGTCACCACTGTCTGACAAAAGTAGAGTCACCCTAATTTTGCGCCTAAACCAGACAGACACCCTTGACCTCTGCTCAATAAGCTGCTTCCACTCCAGATGCTTGCTCTGGTTTTAAAGGCTTGTATTGTCCTAAAAAAGGCACGTACTGGTGGGCCATCTCCCTAAGGTGTGAGGATTCCAGAATTCGTTTCCAGGCACTCGGCTCGTCAGAATGTGCCCTTGATTAACCAACATGCTTCCTAGAAGCCATCAGACATCGACTGGGTTTAAATCTATTTACAGAGGAGAAATTGCCAAATTTGTTGTCTTGAAATCACAGTGAACTTCATTTGCTTTCCTTAAAAATGATCCAAAGGCGCTCTCTCTCTCTCTCTCTCTCTCTCTCTCTCTCTCTCTCTCTCTCTCTATCTATCTATCTATGTCCCCATGAATTTTTTAGGGATATATATATATCCCTGTGAATTTTTTAGGGCATTTTTATCCTGATATCAAAAAGCTGTAAGGCACGACAGTGCAACACGTGTAACAGCGTGACCAAACAACAGTGATTAACATTACTGCTTGCACACATGCGTGGGAAATCCTGAACGGAAATGGTAGGTTGTGAATTTATCAGGTAAAGCAATTACTGTGTTCAGGTGTCCTTAAAGCAAGGTGCATTTATTCAGCATTTCCTGTTTATACGTAGCTTTTCTAATGGAGCACGGACCCTGGGGAAGCAGTGTATACAAAATAACACGATCATCTCGATAGATGCCAATGACGCTGTCTCGACGTAGTTCAGAAAGAAAGTGAATTGGATGCTGCATCTTCTATAGATTAAGCTCTGTCATAGTTACTAAGGAAATGCAGGGCAGACCCAAACTGAGATACTCTCGCTCTCCGCAGGATGATTTAGAGTGGGAAAAACAAACAAACACAAATGTTGGCAAGGATGTTGTGTTAGTCCCGGTAGGCTAGGGAAACCAATCTCGGGAAGCCATGTGTCAAGAAAGAGCTTTATAGACAAGAGCAGTTGAATGTTGAGAAAACAGCCCAGCCCAGATCAAGCCCATGAGTCTGATATTAGCCTATCTGTCTGATACCAGTCTATAAATTCTTCTTCAGACACATAAAACACATGCA